CCCCAAGCCTGTACTGATGCATGGGGTTGTTCCTCCCCAGGTGCAGGACCCTGCACTTGCCCTTGTTGAACCTCATCAGGTTCCTCTCTGCCCAGCTTTCCAGCCTATCCAGGTCACGCTGAATGGCAGCACAGCCTTCCGGTGTATCTACCACACCTCCCAGTTTGGTGTCGTCAGCAAACTTGCTGAGGGTACATTCTAACTCTTCATCCAGGTCGTTGATGAAGAAGTTAAACAAGACTGGGCCCAGTACTGACCCCTGAGGGACACCACTTGTCACCAGCCTCCAACTAGACTCAGCGCCGCTGATGACAACCCTCTGAGTTCTGCCATTCAGCCAGTTCTCTATCCACTTCACCGACCACTCATCCAGCCCACACTTCCTCAGCTTCCCTAGGAGGATATCATGGGAGACTGTGTCGAAAGCCTTGCTGAAGTCAAGGTAGACAACATCCACAGCTCTCCCTTCGTCTACCCAGCCAGTCATGTCATCATAGAAAGCTATCAGGTTGGTCAGGCATGATTTCCCCTTGGTGAATCCATGCTGACTATTCCTGATAACCTTCTTTTCTTCCACTTGCTTGATGATGGCCTCCAGGATAAGCTGCTCCATCACCTTTCCCGGGATGGAGGTGAGGCTGACCGGCCTGTAGTTCCCTGGGTCCTCCTTCTTGCCCTTTTTGAAGATTGGAGTGACATTGGCCTTTCTCCAGTCCTCGGGCACCTCTCTTGTCCTCCAGGACCTCTCAAAGATGATGAAGAGTGGCTCAGCAATGACATCTGCCAGCTCCCTCAGCACTTGTGGGTGCATTCCATCGGGGCCCATGGATTTGTGGGCGTCCAGATTGCTTAAGCAATCCCTCACGCAGTCCTCCTCGACCAAGGGAAAGTCATCCTCTCTGTAGGTGGCTTCTCTCACCTCCAGGGCCTGGGATTCCTGAAGGCCTGCCTTGGCTCTGAAGACTGAAGCAAAGAAGGCATTCAGTAGCTCTGCCTTCTCTGCATCCCCCGTCACCAGGACACCCGCCTCATTCAGCAGCGGCCCCACATTGTCCCTAGCCTTCCTTTTGCTGCTGATGTAGTTGAAGAAGCCCTTCTTGTTGTTTTTGACATCCCTTGCCAGCTTCAATTCCAGGTGGGCTTTGGCCTTCCTCGTTGCATCCTTGCATGCTCTGACAACATTCCTGTACTCAATATGTCCTTTAATATGCCACATACATTAATACAGAATAGATTTCTTTATAAGCACTGTGTCCTTTCCACAGGACGTAACGCAATAGTTCGTAAATATATATTGCAGACTGTAATATATTTGCTCCAAAAATTACACAAATATCTTCAATATCATATAACTTTGAATGCTTTGCTTAAAATAAAAATGCAACCCTTAAGTCCACTGTCAATTGCTTAAATTTAGCACAAATAAATTTGAAAATAAAATCATCAAACCTACACTGTAAGATGCTGTTTCCACTTTGGACTATTTGTATTGTTGCATTTTTCTGTCTTCTTTGACTGTCCGTCTACTGAGACTTCCACATAAGGGCTAGGTCCAAACCATTTATTTTTTTCTTTTAGTTTTGCCGAAATAACTGTTAAGAAAGAGAAAAATAATAATTTACTCATTAAGATTTCAATTGCAAATAATATTTTTCAGTTGTGTGCTTCAGTATTCAAGTATCAGGTCATTGATGCCTGACAACAATGCTCAAGAAAAAAGATACATTAGCTGGCCAAAAATTCTCTTGCATTCCAAATCTTTTTATACAACGCTATAGCTCACACAAATGCCTAAAGCATGCAACAGTACTTCTATAACATCAGACACAATAACTAATAATAATCAGTATAAGATCCACAAAAGTGCTTAGGTGTTGAACGTAGAAGATATCCTCTTGAACCTCCTCCTGCCTATCACCAGCCAAGAGAACTCCTGGAGTTTATTACACTTGCTTGTTAAAAAGCTCAAAATATGATCTCTCTCTCTCTCACTAAGGAATCGGGAAAACTGCCACAATTTCTGGTGAAAAAAATACCATTAAGTGAAAGAACTTTGTGTTGTTTTCTGTATCAAAGCAAACTTACGGAAAAGCTAACTAAAGGCAAACACTGAGTTTCAATAACTACCTGCTGTTCTAGAAACAACAAAACTTGGGACAGGACTTGCAGCTCTAGAGCTGTGTGGGGTTGGGTGTTCCGGGTTTTTCTTTGATTGGTTTTAGGTTGTTTTGGTGTTAGTTTGTTTGTTTTTTAAACACTAAACATCATTGATTGCAACGCTCCTCTCTTTCCAAACACGGTGGCTATGTTGCCTCCGTTCAGCCAAAGAAGCACGCGTGTGCAGGAGTCTGCCCCTGACATTTGACTCTGAGATTAGGAGTGGATTTGGATTCCTTGGCAACACGAAACCCACAAAACAGTACTTAAGAGAGAGATATTCTCATTTCCAACTGGCCAGTGAACTCCACTCTGTTCTAACAAATAATAGCTTGGTCTCCTGTGTTTGTCACCCACCTCAGATGCATTACATCCTTAAAAAAGGATGACTAATTCAAGCCCATATGGTTAATCTACCTAGATTCCCTTTATAGTCTATTCTCCTTTAGAGATTTAGAGAAGTAGCTTAGTATAAACTGCTCTGAACTGCTCCCAAGGGCTCCCTTGAACTGCTCCCTTTCTCTCTATATTACCGACATCTTACAGAAATTAACTTCAGTTAGCTAACATTAATTTTCACCAATAGCTCCCCTTCCCTTCATGTCTGCAGTACTTCTATACCACAGCATTTCATGCCTCAACATCGCTAGCTGTCTCAAAGGCATTGAGACCTACTTTGAGGCAGCACAAATCAGCAGCCCAGTACCTACTTTCCGTGTTCTTACTTACCCAGACAACCTGAAAGCTCACTTAAAACTAATGGAGACAACAGAGCTGGGAGGTCAGGCTAGGGCAGGTGGAGGGTGCTGCTGTTCACAGAGCTGTCTACAAAAAGGAAGGTAACGCCTGCTTGCAAGGGAAATGGCTTGCTTGCAGACTGTGGCTGAACTTCAACAGAAATTAAGAACCAAACATCTTAATAGTCTCTATTCCAAACACTGAGACATTTCATCAACTTCATTTTATGCGAGTCACAGGCCTTTAACAGAACAAGCCTTAGACAGCCATTGCCACCTTAATCCTTAGCTCTGCTCTCCACAGCTACGCGGAGGATGTACCTCCTTCCAAACCTCCTCATCTTTTCTCTCCAATATCAATGTGTAGAGACAAGATTTCTCCTAAAGTCTCACAGCCTAGTGAGAAAAAACAGGCTTGTGGTCTCACTCTGACAGCTAGAGCCAGTATAACCTATTCAGTTGCAACCTCCTTTCTAGTCTAAAGCTTCCCCAGCTATTTCTGGTGATTCTTTTCATCCCCACAAAACCAGCTTCATGAAACTTCCACATATATCCACAGATCTTTGACACTGAGAGTGCAAAATTCACTCTTGATGCTTCTGAACATAGACCTGCATACATCCACAGATCTCCCATTCCCAGGCTTCATCAAAATTTGTCAAAGTGTAAAAGTGAGGAAAACTTGGTAATTAAGTTTCAACTGCTGCTCTGTTGGTGGGGCACTATGAAAAGCAAAGCACGTCATGTAAATCCATTCCTATGCAATCTACAGGTGCTCAATTACAGTAACATTCTCACCAACACTTTTATTAAAGCTCCTTTACGATGGTGGCCATAAAAACATGTAGCAAGGGAGAAGCAATAAGTCAAATCTAATGAACAGCAGTTCAGATTCACTTAGCTTGAGATGTAAAAAGAAAGGAGAAAGTGTTAAAATTGGTATTATGTCAACTGCTAGTAACTGAAAGCAGCGTCATATTACCTGATTACATTTCAATGAGGACTGTTGTGTACAATTTACTTAACAGCATTCAAAAAGAATTATTCTTCCCTTTTTTACACAAAAATGCATAATTTCAAAATGCATTTTAGATAAAATCCTGAATAAAATAGCTATATTTCCACCAAGTAATGATGGCATAACACCATCAATTTTATTGTGCAGCTTCTCTTGGTTTTTGTACAACTCAAAAGTTCCTGAAATGCAACACAGCAGTAACTTCCGTTTAACTGTGGGAAAAACACTTTCACATTTCTGGCCAGAAAAGATACATCCTTTCAAAAGGCTTACCAGTGATTTGAAGCTGTGATTTCATGGAAAATCCACTGGATGGTCCTGATTTGGACCCACTGCCAGCCATAACACCGGCTGAATCTTGAATCTGGATGAAAAAACAATGTAAACATTTGAATCCTTAGAAACTCAAATGTTAAATCATCTGTTTTTCAACATGCAGCTACATTGTACTGCAAAGAAAACCACCACCACAAATTGTTTTCTTCCTAGTTCCTTTTCATTTCCCCGAAGTACAGAAAATGGTTTACAAAGGGCTTAGTTGCTATTATTGCACAATCTGGAAATATTCACATCCTAGGCCAAAGCGGTCTTTTGATTTTGTCCCTTCAATTTGCCAATTAACTGAAAGTGAATTACGTTCTAATCACAAAGTTTGCTGTACCTCTTATGTCTGAAAGTATCTGCCTATTTTGATGTCGTAAGTCCTGGGCAAGAAGTTTATCTTCCCACGTCAAGTATTACTTGGTTTAAATAAAAGAAAAGAAAAACCCACAATCCTCAGGCATAGGAAAGAGGCTGAAAATGAATTATCAGATTAAAAAGTGAACTTCAAATTTAGAGAAACCCGCTTCTGTACATCTTCTGTTTTCATTTGGTCAGATCAAGTCTACAGACGGGCTGTGTTTTGATACAGCACTTCACTAACAGACGAGATACATCACTGCTGAAAGAGGGCAAGACAACCTTCATTTACAGCCCAACCCTCCCTCTTACCACACCCCAGTCCTCACGAGCTTGATCCTCCCAGCACCAAAGCAGGCAGGTATTCCTACTATTCTTCAAACTCAGTTCAATTCAGTATTCGGTTTTGGGGGGTAGGGGGGAGAAAGTGGACAACATGTATCGTAGACCTTCAGTATTAACAGACAGAAATGAAATAGCGTGCTATTATATTAAAAATAGACATCACTTTGGAAATAGCCAGATATCCTTGTCTCCTGTTCACTTCTAAAACACATTTTCCACTCAACGTCCCTTACCAACTAAACTAGACGTACATCACTAAGTCCTCTACAGCAGATTACCAACTGGAAAATGAATGGGTTACTGAAGACTCCTAATTACTTGCTGGATACAACTTCCAGATTATTTACTGCATTCCTCTCATGCCATATTCCTTCCTTTGTGCCATTTCCTCACTGTCTTCTGTGGCCATAAGCTACCGCAAAATCATTCACCCACCCGTCCGTCTGCCCTGCTGCTCTCCGGGCTCCCCTCTGTTGCGAGGCTCAGCTGCTCTGGCCAAGCT